AAAAACAAAACATACACAAGAGTAAAGACGATGTTTTATGCGAGAGGGCCGTCATCTGCGACGATAGCAACACACTCTAAATGTTTTTATTGGTATACCTGCAAACTGTATTAAAGACGTATAGAAAGATACATGATTCATGTGGTCTACGTTTAGTTACATTATATTCGTAATTATTTACACACCTGGCGTGGTTTACTTTAACATAAAAATAGAATTTTTCTTCCTGTCGCTGGTAATCCCTCTAATTTAATTTGACAAACACAAAGAACAGATTAAACTCCCGTGCCTATTATATCGATATTTTTAAGATAATTCAATTTATTATATTTGTATCCATTTCACGAGCTATCAGAATAAATATATGTATCGCCTTTTGTAACTACCTGGAATCTGTAAAATTACGCAGGTATATCTAAAAGATAATATTGTTTGAAAAGGTTGATAATATAATAAATACAGTAAATTAATCCTCACATGTTATATTAGTATGTTAAAGCGGGAGGGTCTCCACCTGCGCACGTGCGGGAATTGAGTCCCAAACGATGATAACAACACACGCTAAAAACGCAAAGGATCGTGGGTATATGCTTGTTTCTAAACAATGACATGCTAAGGCCATCTGACGCATGCGCAGGTACAACTCCCCCGCTTTAACATGTGATGTATAAGAGCCTCGGCTGTGGTTATAGGATGGTATCATAGATTAAAGTCTCAACAACTTTGAATGACGATTATGGCCACCATAAAATGTGATATGTCTTGTAGCTCACGTGTATATGATGTGACTGTAAACAACCGCACCTACAAGTGTAATTGTTTAGTAACACAAATTAAAAATACATATTCATGTAATAACTACCTGTAAAATTGTTTCGAATCATCAATGAGATGAGGTAATTAACACCAATGATGAGTTTGCTATTGTTGATTTCAGTTTCCACAAAGATTGATTCACAGTGCATAATATTAAAGGCGTTAATGCGCTTAAAGGACAAAGAGCTGTGAATATATAACGCAACTCCCCCACCTTGTGAGCCTTCTCTGTTACAAGTAATTAGATTATAGTTTGGTATATTGTAAAGGAGCAAGTTTGAATTAGAGTTTAATCTAGTTTCACTGAGACCTATGAAAAGGAAGTTATGCTTTAAAATGTTTAAAAATGAAATAAAGTCATCGAAATCTTACATGTGAAATACTAAATCTATGTAACATTCATGCATACTCGCCAAGTTTAAGTAGCTTGGCTGACTCAATAGCACCCCAGCTACCAGGTTTAACATTCATGGCTAATTTGTACTGTTCAGCTGCACTTTGTTTTTCACCCTGGTGGTATGGAAATTTCCCATAATTGCAATGGGCATTTGCTCTGTCAATGGAATCATCACATTCCAGAAGTTCTATAAATATTTTTTTTACTTCTTCGGGTGGCACACCAGAATGTATAGATACTTTTGCCAAATCGATCTTCGCTGCAAAATTACCTGGATCGCTCTCAAGTGCCTTTTTGAGGTGTTGAATGGATTTAGCTGATAAATCTTGGTCGGTATTTTTTCCAGTATAATACATTTGTTTATAAATAATGCCAAGTTGATGATGAGCAATGCTTGAATTAGGATCAAATTTGATTGCTTTTTTAAGTAATTTGATAGCTTCATCAAATTTATGCATAATTCTATACGCCTGGCCGGCCCTTTGAAGTAGAATGGAGTTATTTCCATCTAACTCCACGGCTATCTCTACATTGCGTATTGCATCGTCCTGTGAACCTTTGGTTATTTGAAGCCTCGCTAGATATACTCTTGCTAAACCGTGATCAGGTTTTAATTGCAGGATTCTTATTAAAGAATCTTCTTCTTCCTTGTAAACATGCAGATATTTCCTTTTTGTCAGTAATTTCATGTGCAATTTTACTGATTGCTCTGGCATATCCAAATAACCAATCCACGTTATCACGAAACATGGACAATGCTAGCTTGTAGCATTGTATAGCATTGCTGATGTGCGTCCTGCTAAACCAATGCAGAGCGAAAGCTTCATGTGCCAATCGACATGCGTATCCTTTCTCTGTCAATTGTATTTGAAGTTCATCGATCTCGCTAATCAGTCGTTGCACATCTTGTAAGTTACCACAAAGATATGAAATCCATGCTTTATCCGCAAGAAGCACTACCTTGTCACCAATCGCCCAGTCATTATTACCTATTTCTAACTTGTTGTCACGTAAAGCCTCGTCGATCCACTTCAAAGATTGTTTCTTGTATTTCGTGGAATTGCCTTCCAGATCTGACATGTACAGGAAGCTTTTCAATGCCTTGGCTGGTACTCTCATCTCATTTGGATTGAATTGCAAATGCTGATCAATATATCGCATATATTTCTGTTTACATGGTAGACAAACATATAAATGTATAGTAAGTAACGACACTGGATTGAAGGAACAATTATCTATTCAAACACAGTAACAACGTGTTATACTGCATGTGATTACACCTTTCGTTCGGTTATTTTTAACTTTGTAGTCAACGTGAACCGATGCATTGCCTTTTATATTCATGTGGAATGTTGAGTACAATGAAATACGTATGACTGAGTGGGCGCTGTAATATATATAACCCTATATTAAAATGCAATAATATTACAATGGTGGGTTTTGTGATATCCATTACAATGTGTTGATAACATTAATAAACTTACCGGAAACTCACTTTTACATTTGTCCTCCAAATTCCAAGTAAAATGACAAGGAAGTCTTTGTAATTGTTCTTTCATATTGTCTGATGAAGTTGTCATTCTAAAGTAATCAAACAGTAGATTTATGAGTACATTAACAATGACACAGTACACGTTGAAATGTGTCGAGTTACCACCAGACAGAGATTCAACATCACTGAACACCCGGTAGCTCATGGTAATTTTGGGTGGACTGTATAAATTGGTTGTCAATGTACCTTGCCTGTACCAACAACCTGTATCAATTAATGATTAGGGGGTAAGGGGGAATAGCTGGTACAAGTTACAGGAGATAAAAACGGCATTTTACATTTTTACTGGAAATAAAATGAAAGCTCCATTTATAGTAAAAAATGGATTTTTACATTTCACAAAAAAAGCGAATTCCTAATTACTTTTTTATAATATATTTGAGAATTTGTGTATAAAAATCAAAATTGGATATTGCATAAGAATAACGACATTTAATGTGGAAAATGTTTTATACGCTTGTAAAAATGAGATCGTTGTACAATGTACGGACGAATCAAATAGCTGATTACATTTTACACCTTGCCCATGTCTACGAATTTACGTTTTTTATTTATCTAAATTACATTATCACGAAAATAAAAGCAACTGATTACAGCTTACGAAAATACCCCTTGCCGACCCTCTACTAAATTGTGAACCAATAAATAGTAATTGTCCTGAAGCTAGATATTTTAAACAAGTTTCAATCCAGAAATGTTAACGACTGACTTTCCAGACTGGTTTATGGAGACTGGTGTTTTAGTTGCTTCCTATAATGTCATTGTATCTAACCATGCTGTGAAATGTGCTCATAGTCGTGATAACTTCTTACCTGTGTTGTGAATAGCAGCACACTGGTACACTGGAGTGAATGCACATAATATGTATGTCATTTCACACAAGGTAGACTGGTTACCAAGTTGTGTTGATATGGTTACTGATTGGTTCACAGCGAATTCTGATGACATAGACTGTTGTTTAATATTTTATCGGATGACCATATTTAATGATCCCTATTCTACATAAAGTTTACAGTTTGAACTTTGCTTCACCATGTAGCAGGTGGTGTTCAAAGTTCGTTTGTCGCGATCAATATTCAGAAGAACAGAAAGGTTATTGAACACACTGGACCCTTATTAATCACAGACAATGTTTGATATCAACAGAACTCCGTCATTTCCATTGTACTTATTAATTGTATGTACTGTTCACATATAGTAAACTCGTTGCGTGTCAGTAAAGTCTTTATTCATCAGTAACGTTGGTATTTAGCTGTTTCTGACCCAATGATTTTATTGGCCTAGGCGATCC